TATGGCCTTATAGTAAACTTGCAGTGACGAATTTGTAAGAGAAAGTAGTGATATGTTGCTGTACAGACGAATGACGTTTTATGTGGTACCCGTGTTAAAATGGCTTACATGAACGCCTCCCACATAGTTAGTGTTTAGATTATTATATAACATCTCAATAACAGTTTGATCAGCGATAATATCTGAACTCACTTTTAATTAAACTCACAAATAATGTATTCAAAACTCTTAATCTGTTACTATAACTATAACTGCGTAAGTCCGTATTTAACTGTTGTCAGGTTAGTTGCCAAGGTTGAATCCAGTGTTTCTTGTGCAGATGTTCGTATATATTCTTTTTATTTCTATAAGTACATTATGCAGTACACTGAAACAATACAAGTTGACAGGGAGTAATTTCTATTCATGGGTAAATATACAAACGTTCGACTGAAATGGTCAAACTCACATTCTAGATACATTCTAGATGCTAGTGATAATAGTTTGCTACATGTTCCTTTCATACCATGTAATTCATGGGCAAAGCTTGACTGTACGACACCATCAATGAATCTGGACCTGGTTCTAAAGATCCATCAGATTTAACCTGTACTTAGCTTTTCTTAGCCCATACTATGCGTTCGCCCACGTCTTCTTTGCACAGAAAAAACATGCCTCAATAAATTGCGGGTATTGGATGGCTTTCTAATAATTCAATTAACTGTTTTAACAGTAGTTTTTAAAGAAATTAACTAATGATTCCAAAGGGTGCCAATGATTTTTCAAACTCCGTCGATGTCATCAACATCCGACCCCCATTGTCCCGTTAATTACTAAGATACAAAAGCTTTCGGTGACTGGACTAAAGATGTAAACTCGTTTGTCGGCCAGTACTTTGATAAGGCCATTTGTCAATATGTTATTGTGTTGTCGTGTTGTTTTTCAATGAAGGAAGTAAATACTAAAATAAACCGATATATGTATCAGTGTTATTTATACATTTACAATGCGTATATATTACCTTTTTTACGAGGCTCTTCGGTAAGTCGTGACTCTTCGAAAGTCAAGTTATTGCTTGGATTCCGACATCCACAAGTTAGATATGGGTCACTGTACTTAGAAACTGTCACTAGTCACCACTTTAACGCACCTCACAACTATAAGTTTCAAAAACCGAGCCAACAACCGTTAATATTCATCTTCGAAAAAGAAAACTCAATCCCATGTCGCAGAAATATATTGTATTTCAGTGTATTGTTAATCAGAATAATTTGGCCTTCCTATCGGAAATAAGACACAATATGCAGATGTATGGTACTAGGCTCACAATCAAATAACAATAATACATTTTTTATTACAGACCATCATATAAAAATGAGTTGGCAAATCACTCTCTTCATATATGTGATGCCTATAATCCTGATGAACTCTGGTAGACTGAAGGGATGTCCATCTGAATGCATTTGTGAAGACAGTGATGGAGAGTTGCATGTCGATTGCAGTCACGGTGGTTTGTCTGAAATTCCTTCAAATATTCCATCCAATACTACGAAATTAGTGTTGGAATATAATGATTTAACAACAATTCCGGAACATGCTTTTATCGAATTGTATGGGCTGGTTTACATAAACCTCGGATGGAAGGGAATTACTGAGATTTCATCAAGTGCTTTTGCTGGCGTAACCAGCTTAACAGAACTTATATTACATAGTAACGAATTAACATCGTTACCGGAAACTGTTTTTAAAGAGTTACCAAACCTAAAACAACTTAATATATCCCACAACTCATTGACATCTTTACCAGATGGAATATTTCACAACTTGACTGATTTAACAACACTTGACTTGTCCTACAACAATCTACAATCATTGAATTCGTCATTATTTGATGGGTTATACAATCTACATGTGTTACGCCTCTACGACAATGACATAACATTCTTACCATCAACGACATTCCATTCATTGACAAAACTATCATTCCTGAATGTTCGTGGTAATGAACTGACATCTTTATCTGCTACTCATTTCATTACATTGACACGTTTAAAATTACTCGACCTTTCCAATAATAAATTCACTGCTTTGCCACGTG